ATGGGTACGGATGGGTAGGCTTTATGTACAAAGATTTCTGCACCACCGCTGGCCCTATTACTGTGTTCTCGATTTTTGTGATGGCTATTATAATTAATTAAGTTTGAGATGTAATCGTTTTTAAAATTGGTTTCAATTCATATTTGCAAATATCACATTTCACTGAGGAAAAAATATTTAAAAGGAGAGTTTTGAAGGAATTCATAAAATTGTGACAGGTAGGATTAGTATTTCTAGCACCATGCTGTCGACTCGAACCAAAAAAATATTCCATAATAACCTGGTTCATATTTCTTGTGATAAAATATTTAAAATCAAGTTTTTGTAATTTAGACCATCCATATTTAAAGCCACGTAATGTGACTATCCAATTTTTGACACACAGAGGAGTAGAGACTTTAGTGATACCAATTTGTTTGTTTAAGTGAACAATTTCATTCTTTTCTAAACTTCAATAGCTGTATTCCAAAAAGTGATGTGTGATGATGAACTGGTTAGGTTAGTTTAGGTGATGAACTAGTAACTGCAGCTGTTCTTAGTATTTTTTATCCATAGACTTTCTTGTAGCAGCATTTACCAAATCAAAACATTGATCCATAAATAAACAGAATACAGCAGTTCTCAAAGGCCAAAGCATTACTACCAAGATCTGGATTAGAAGGTGCTGAAAAATTCAAAATGTTATCCATTAATAATTGATAAATACCAACCTATTTTAATTATTATAAAATATATAAATTACTTAATTCACTCATTAGTTTTAAAGTTAATGCAACACGGTGACTAAGCATTTGAGCAGTAGTAGATACCTTAATTTTTCTCATTTTTTTCTATGACAACATGCTCTTCTGTCAATTTTGGTAATGCTCTACAATACATATCTTCATTACTCTTGTCAGCAAAGTATAAATTGTTTATGCATTTTGTTGAGTTTAGGATTATGTTGACAAAAATGACTACACTGCTTTTAGTAATAAGTTATATTTATCAAACGCATGAGATACACATAAGTAATATTATAATGTGTTCCCTACAGTATGCTAAAAGTCGGCCTTATATACAAGCGACCTATTGACCTAAGTCTCACGCCACTGTTTAACAATATCCGATTCGCTAATAAATATGTCATATGATATGGCGTGATTTTGCATATTATTAATAGCAACGATGTTGTTGTTGTTGCACAATATGATGATACTTTATGCAATATTAAATTATATTCAACAAATTTCCATGATGCCGTATACTCAGTGTTATTTAAAGTAAATTTGACATATTTGGTTTATAAATTATTCCGAATGCACTTTAGAAAATGAGGTGGATCATATAATATATGCACAACTTTATGTCTATCTATTATATATCTTCATTACAGTTTCTAATTCTTGCCTTAAAAATTATATTGATGTTTCACTTTTTAATATATTTATTTATTGCAGCAACATTCGTTTTTCCTTGATCTGATAAAGTAGTGACCAGGTTTAATCCTGTTGTTAGTATACTTTGAATGACTTGCGGTTGCATCGCATCAAATCAACAGTTTTTGTGCTTCCTTGGACATAATAATAGCAAATGGGCTGCTTAAATTTTTTCCTCAAACCACGGGCCATAAACACTAATACATGATCTGCTAAATTAAAATTTCTTTTGTTTGATCCTACATCTTCAAAACCAAAAACACTATCAACATGTTTATCATATGTTAAATCTGACTGCAGTGACATTTTATCTCGCATTTTATCAAACATCAAGCAACAAGTTCTATCCATTCAATTTAAATGTTTTACTCTGTTTTTTATATGATCAATTATTTTTTGATTTATTCCAAGCAAAACAAAAATATTTTTCTATAACCCTGCTATTATGATTTTTTGACAGGGCAATGAAAATATTGTTGAAAGATATCTCTATACCTTTGGACTTTGCTTGTAGATTGAAAGAGCTAAGATCTTGTCGTCTAAAGTAAATCTTCATACCTGGAATTTCTTTGATTGATTGATGATTTGAGATATTTTAAACCGTACCTTGTTTTATCAACTTTATTAAAAAGTTGGATAAGCGAATATTTTTTTGAAAATTTGTGAGCCTTTCTTGCCTTACTCTTATTAGTTTTAATTTGTTTTGAACGACGACTTAATTTTTTAGTTAGGTAATTTTATGCTTGACAGCTAATTTGATAGGTTTTCCAGATATTTTTCTTTGAAAGACTATGGAGGAGAGGATTAGCAGCTTTTTCTACCCACATTCCAAGTTCAAGTCATTGAGGGGGAATAAATATTTTCTTTTATCAGAATTTGAACAGCTTTTAACAACACATTTCTTAGAAACCATGCTGAAATTCAACTAAAATAGATGTTTATTTTTAACTATCGTAAATTTAACTTATACATTTTTCAATTAAAACTTAAACGTTTATTACTTCATGTTTCGTGTACGATGATATTGCCAATAAGTGCCTTGTTCTGACGGTGGTTGGTTGAAACTTAAAATTACAGACAAAATCTATGGACAAAATCCAAAGCCACAAACTGACCATCATAGACAAAGGAAATAGAAATCATTCGCCATTGATATTATTATTAAATAAAATATGAAAAAATAAAGCTATGCTGCTATGGACTTATGAATTATGATACTATATAATAATTTATGGTATAAATGAGAATACAATTAATGTTGATAAAAACTGACTACTAGCAATTTTGAGTTGATCTCCACAACTACTATTTAAGAAAGGTTTTCGATAGGTATAAGTTCATATCCCTGATCACAATAATTCACGTGTACACAATAGACCAGTGTTTCCCAAACTTTTTGCAATGGCTTTTTTATAAAATGCTAATAGGTAGATTAATCATAGTTCACAATGTGAAACACACTACTTGTTAATATTATATTGAATAGGTCGACAATTAGTGATTCATAGAATATATTAGACATCAGTAAAGTTACTACTATTATAATAAATCAATTCCAAACTGTGTTACAACTAAATATTTTTGATGCTACTTGCTTTTGGTAATAACCATGGGATGTCATTTATTAATCATGTTAGACTTTATAGTATACCTAGTCCGTAACAATAAGTAGGTTGTAGGTATGAGCATAGGCGCACATAGGGGGGGGGGGTGCTTGAGGGTGCTTAGCACATTAATAAATTATTGTGGTTCGGATTTTTTTTTTCCATGACAAATAGACAACAGTTCACGAATTTGCGATTAAAACAGTATTGCATAAATGCACGTTTCAGTGTTTCAGTTGTCGTCAAAATAATAAACAATAGGCAGCAATCATATTATAGAAAATCCGAAATCGTAATTATATCAATGAAAGGTTATAACCACTTGATTCATTGCTATTTACAAATTGTATACAAAATTATTTAAAATAATTGCAATGTAATTTATTATAGTATTAGGATTTAGGATGGTGTGGGAGCGAAGCCCCCTTCGGTTTTGTGTAACATAAATTATTCCAGCACCCCCTGAATTCACCCCCAATGTACGCCTATGGGTATGAGTACTTAGTATTATTATATTAACATCTGCATTATCGTTTTAATCATATAAAGTAGACAATTATTTTTAAGCAAATTAAACATATGTGGGTTTTAATGAAACATACCTACAACGCCAGATCTAGCGGTGGGGCAAATGTATATCCTTGACTAGGTGCCATTGGAATAATGGCGCTCAGGCGCTCTTAAGTTTATGAAAAATAAAAAAAAGTCATGAACATAAATTATATATATAAATAATAAACATGAAAACTTGACAATTTGACAAATATTAATTCATTACCTAGTGGCAGTGTTGGGAATTATCTAGATAATTTTACCAAGATAAGTTATCTAGATAAAAATAATTAAACCAACTAATTATCTCATCAAGATAAATGTAATGGCTATCTGTGGTAACATATATCTAGATAAATAATATAATAATAAGAATATTTTTAAATACTGAAATAGCCAATAATTTATGAGAACCGAGTCGTAGTGATTCCAAATTCCAATATTCTTATAGTTAAAAAAGAAATGTCTTACTGAAAAAAAAAATTGCCAGTTTTATTTTGTTATTTTATTTTTATTTAAAAATTAAAATTGTATATTATTTTAGTTAAGAAATGATATTAAGGATTTATTAATATATAAATATTACCTAATTAGTAATTACTAATAAAGTAATAAATTATATTATATATAATGTCTATTTATATCTTTATCTAGATAAAAAAAATTATGTTATATTTTATCTTATCTACCTATAGATACATTTTGAATGAATTACATATGTAATGATACCTGTTATCTTATCCAGATGATTTTTTGGTTAACTTTTCCCAACACTGTCTAGTGGTAATATTGTCAGATTTTATTCAATAATTATAATTCAAAATACCTTGTCGGGGAAAATTATAATGTTAATATATTATCTTATATTAAAGAATTCATTCGAATACTTTCGAATATGTGTTTAATTAATTCAAGTATAATATTGACATGTGCTTTACTATACTGTGAAAACAAGGTGCTTTGAATAATACCCATATTCCTCTGTACCCTATACATATTTTTGAATTCTGTTTGTTGGACATGAAACTAGACTATTCGATCATCAATTTCCCTCAGGCAGAATTCTATAATTCTATTAGTATGGATAATGTTTATGATGGCGTGGTGGGGGAGGGGGCTAACTACGTGACCATGGGTATAAAATCACAAAGAAATTGAACTATTAGATGCTGTATCTAGGTACCTACTAACATTTTTCCGCTTCATTCTATTCATACTATCACTACCGAAATAGGCCTATAGAGTTAGAACAAAAATTAAAAATGTTGTTTTTATTTAAAATTGAAAATTAACGTTACATTAACTTGCTGAAGTTATATATATATGTATATGAGATATAATAATTGTATGATGCACAATGACAACATAGTGCTATCGTGTGTTAGTCCTCAATCATGGATGCGCCTATTCATTCATCCATACCAAGTTAACGTCTGTTTCTACACGATATGAACCGGGCCACATTATCCACAAAATCAGTTGTCTTCGCGGCGTCCAACGCAACTGTCACCATCGCCTCGATGGAGGTGACTTCAGGGGGCCCATTCACCAAATCGACTGCCAACGAGGCCGCTTGCAATGCATAATTCGTCGATGACCTGAGTGCCACATCTTCAACCATGGCGGCATTGGTGATTTTAATCATGGAAGAAACTTCCACTGATTCATTCGATGCGTTCACGGACTTCAATTCTGATGGAAATGACATCCGCATGTCAATGCCGTCAATAAACCCCCTGTCAAATATTATTTTACGAACCGCATGGTATCGGATCAAATCAGCCGGGCATGACTCATCTCTACAGTCACGAAAATATTTTGGTTCACGGTGTTCTCGGCGTCAATTGTATATTATATTGAATTAAAAAGTTCTATTGTTGGAATAGAAGTGCTGACTGCTGAGTAATTTTCAAGCTACATATCCCTATCTTCAACTAATTTTTCATTAAAACACTAAAGGTATATATCGTTTAATCGAAACAGCCATTATCTGGCAACGATGGTTGTTGTGAATTTCTTGTTTGGTTGGATAGGTAAGTGTCCTCAATTCATTTATTTTTTTAGACTAGTGGAATAATTTTCTTTTCCATCGCTGCCTCCGGAGGTATCGTAATAGTGAGTTCACTGCTTTGTGTATGTTTTGGCAGTGAATTGCTAAACAGTCGCCAAAATCAATACTTTAAACAATGATTTTTTTGCAAAAATATGCTCAGAAAGGTCTAAAAAGACTATTGCAGCGGTTCTTAACCTGTGGTCCGCGGCCCCCTGGCTAATACACATGTCGAGGGTCAGCGGCAGCCTTAAGGGGATTGGAAGCGGCGATTTTCTGTCTTTGTCTAACACACGTGAAACATAGGATTATAAATGTGTTCTATTTCCAACGTACCGATTAATTTAGTGATAAGAATTCTGAAAACAACTTTGAAAACGACTTTCCCACATTTTTGATTTAAACTTCTCCAAAAATTAAAATATGTCAATTTTTTAATTACTCTTTTTGATATATCGTTTTTATGATTTTGGGGGGATAATATAAAAAATGTGGTAAGTCAATCTCAAGTAGACTTGACGACAAATTCAAATCGATTTTCAGAATTCTTATGGCTTCACTAGATTTATCGGTACGTTGGAAAAAGAACAAGTCTATAATCCCATATTGCACGTGTGTTAGACAAAGACAGAAAATAAACGCTTCTGATCCAGTTAACACCCAACATAAGTCAATATGTGACATGGTTACATTATTACAATATTTTTGGATAGTTTTTTTTTTTTTTCATATAAAAATATATCTTATATTGTAAGAGATAAACCTTTCTTATCTTTATTACACCGATTACAATGTGGAATTCGATAGAACAAACATCTTAAGTTTAGATATCTATAGAATCTTAGATCCTGAACCTAATAATTTTATTATTAATATTTATTTTATAATTTATATATCAGTTTTTCTTGATCATACGAATTGTACAGTCATACAGCACACAGGTCGACAGTTGTATATTTACTACCAATAAGTGTTGTTTATTAGTTTTATAACTACGTAATTTACGATTAATACGTGATATTGAAATGCAACATCAACCATCGCATTAAGACTTAATAATTAAGTAAATAAAACTTAAATTTATTAAAATAATAAATATTACAATTTTTTTTAATTTAAATGTTTAATGATATTAAAGTTTAAAATGAAAAATTAAGTTTAATAAAAATAAATATAAATGTGTATATTTTGTTATGTCTAGTACCTATGTCTACTTCTATAATTTGTAATTTAAAATAGTGATTTTAATTTTGGTTATGATAACATGAAATGTTTTGTAAAAAGGTAAAAAAAAAAAAAAAGGTATTCAACAAAAAATTGGTGGCTGGTCCGTGATTTCTTAAAATCTTTCATTGAGGGTCTGTGTTCTACAGAAGGTTAAGAACCAATGGACTATTGTACTGTTCGATGTTCATCTAAATTTTCTATATCGTTAAGAATATTAAAAAAGTACTTAAACAATACATTTTAAAAGAATAATTGTCATACAAATAGCAAATAGTGTTTTATGATTTCCATTATATAAGTGTTGCATCAACTACACAGTCTATATTTTGCAATTCAAAAATAAGCCTCTAGGTTGGTCAATAAGCTAATAAGCTTATTTGACAATGTCACATTGGAAACTGTCTTTTAAGTGCAATGGTTTACCTGTCACAACGTCAAATTTCTAGTACATTTCTAACCAATGACAATTATTTCTTAATTGTTTCCCAAAAATTGAATTGTGTGAATTTTGAGTTGTGTTTAACCAATCCAAAATCCAGGATTATCTTTTGTCGTACTTCAACTGTTCTACTTGCTACTGCAATCGAACAATCTCACCTATTCTTGTTTTTGTAACCGAGAAAATAGGTACACAAGAAACTTGTGTTTAAACAATTGTTTTAATTTCTTATTCCCAGCTTTCACATCAATGTTTTCATTAGACAATACTTCCATCACAGGATATTAAAACATCAAAAAACATATGTTATCAATATTATAATAATTATATTAATTAATTTTTATTAAAATCTAGATACTAAAATATCATAATGTTAAAACAGTTTCAATTCAGATCATAGTAATTAATAGAACTGGAATTTTTATGTAATGTAATTTCTTATGTAAATGCAATTAATAGGCACATTAAATTATAAAGCGCCCAGATCACAAATCATCTATAAAATAATTATTGAAAACAATTTAATAATAAATTTAATTAAAAAAATAACAATAAAATAAAATTGATAAAAGTATAGAATACAGATGTAATGTACATAAAAATAAGGTATTTAATTTGTCCCATTTAGTAGAGTGAACTTCAATATGGCCAGAAACTTCAGAAATGGCGGTATACTGTATTTTATAATATGCTCCAGCTAGTTGCGTATCTGATAGATTAGAAGATGACAGAACACACGTCACATATATTTTTTTTATTTAGAATTATCTCTCTTAATACTTTAGCCGAAACAGGTACTTGTAACAATGGTTCTTTACAACCCAAACATTTAGATGGCATGTTCTTCATATGCAATTTAATATGTAGTGCTATTTGCTTTTTTTCAAAAAACAATTTATAACAGATTATACAGTAATATGCTGCTTCAGTGTGAAATTTTCTTTCGTGATTAATACGTTTTAGTTTTGAAGAAAAAGATTGATTACATACTTTACAAAACAGTAAAGCCTTTTCAATCATATGAGTCTTTTCATGTTTAATCATGTCAGTTTTCTGTAGATATGAAATACCACATACACTACATTTATAAGGATTGTTTTTAGGATGCATTTTCATATGAGAAATAAAGGTAGATTTTTGGAAAAAGGAAGTCTTACAAAATCTACACCTAAAATGGGTTTTTATGTGTTTAATTAAATTTAATTTTTGTTTAAAGACTACTCTACATATGTCACATTTATATTTTTGTTCAATAACGTGACTTCTCATATGTGTCTGTAAAACAGCTTTATGCAAAAATCTTTTGTTACAATCGGGGCATTTAAAAGTTCTCTCACCAGTATGAAATCTTAAATGATCAATTAGCTTATTTTTTTGAAAAAATGACATTTTACACCAATTACATTTATACATTTCATGATCTTTGTGAGTTTTTAAATGGTAAATGTAACTTTTCCTTTGGACGTATGTTGCTAAACAATGATGGCACTGAAATGTTCTATTTCCAGCATGAGATAACATATGAGTATCTAAAAGTGATTTTGATATAAAACTTGCATCACAAAGATGGCATTGAAATGAATCATTATAGATGTGAGATGTTGAATGACTTTCTAGTTCTGATAATGTAGGAAATGTTGATCTGCAGAGACTGCATTCAAAAGGTCTGTTTGTCATATGAACTTTTATGTGGTCTATTAAACCTGATCGCCGATGAAAGGATCTCCTACACATACCACATTCAAACACCTTTTCACCAGAATGGACCACCAAATGTCTTCGTAAACTTGATTTATGAGTATATGTTTTATCACAAATATGGCACTTTTCTAATTGCATAGTCATATGGACTCTCATATGATGCTTCAAAAATGATTCTCTGAAAAAGACTTTGTCACAAACATTGCACTTAAAAAGTTTTTCACCTGTGTGACTGTGGTTTTGATGATAAACTAAACACGATTTCCGAGAAAATTCTCTAACACATATTTCACACTTAAATGGTTTAATACCAGTGTGTTTCCATTCATGGTTGTCTAATAATGACTTATGGCTAAATTTCCTTTTACAAATTCCACATGAATAAGGTTTATATCCCGTATGGGTTCTCATATGACACATCATATTTTGTCTCTGAGCAAAAGATCTTTTGCACAAGTCACAAAAATATGGTTTTTCACCGGTGTGACTTCTTATATGAACCGTTAAATTTGACTTCACAGTAAACATCTTATTGCAGTACTTGCAATCAAAAGTTTTTTTCTGTTCAGGTGTCTTGGTATTCTTAGTTAAGTGTAATTCTTCAGAAAATGTGGATTGTGAGTTCATAGGTTTATACAATTTTTCGTGATTTTTTTTATGTGATTTCTGGTGTTTGCATAAATCTAAAGGTAATTTACAGAGACGGCAATTAGAAGTATTTTTCTCAGATTTGATATCAAATAACTTTAACTGTGATCTTTTAGGCTTAATTTCAATAATGCTGCTATGTTCCATCTCATCATCACGGTCAACTCCATCGTCAAATTTAGTAGTCTCAATATTTTCTTTAGAATTAAATGAACTGAAACAAAAAACATAATTATTTGTTATATAACTGTTATAAAATAGATCAATAACTACTGTCCAGTTTTAAAACAATCAAATAATTCAATAACTATACAACATATGTTTTAGATGACTACTTAACAAAAGTAAAAAAAAATAAAGCAGCAGATGTTAAGATCATTCGGAGAGAGACAATAATTTAATTAAGCAGGCACGCCCACATATAAGTAGCTCACTAGGTGAAATATACTTTTAGTGACAACATAAGGTGTGGGGGGCATCTCTACTGCCGTCGATTTTAGCTCAAAAGACCTTAAGTTTTAACAAAAGTAAAGTTAGTTTACGTTGTCTGATTTGTATTCTGAAAACCCGAACTCACCAGAAAATTGCCTATAGATCGTACGGAACACTTTGTAAAAACTATAACTTATATTATATGAACTGTAATTGATTAAAAATTTTTGAAATGTTGGACCTCAAATAATAGCCATTATAATAATAAATCAAATTAATAATAATATCGTTAGCTTCCAAAATAAATGTATTGATAGAAACGTGGTATTACCATTCTTTCATCGCTGTACCCTATACTGTGATAGTAGATATAATTATTACTATTACAATGTTATTATCAATATTATTACTACTTTTATTATTTTACTGAAGTTATGTATTTATTCTGTTCTCTTTTGTAATAATGTGAACGTGAAACGCACGTCCTCTATTAGATTCTGAGTGAAACGATGAATGTATTAATTTTACAATGATGTGTTTTTTTTTTTGTGTCTGTCATCACGTTTTAGGACAGTAAAATGGCTTGAATTTTCTTCAACAGTATCTTTTCTGATAGGAAAGTGAATCAAGTTGGTACTTTGGGGGGTCAAAAGTAAAAATTTGCATTAGTTTTCACAAGTGCTGGGAAAAACAACATAAAAATTGATTTTGGTTTTTGGTGTAACTTTAAAACAGATGACCGTGATGATCAGTGATTATACTGAAACACGGAGTTTTTAGAATACTAAAGAAAGTAGATGTTAGAAAGTAATTCTTACAATATTAAAGTTTGACAGACAATGTTTTATCAAAATAGGTATTATCATAGGCATAATCTTGGAAAACAATTATAAATTAACAGAGAAGGAATTTTTATATTTTATTTTTTATTTGAAAAATCCAAATTATTAAAATTCTCAGGTGGAGCATACCAACAAAGTCAACAATACATAAAGCATAAAGCTATCTCAGATTATCACCACATGTTAAAGAAGAATTCATTAAATGATGTGGTTAAAAAATTATTATGAAGTAAAAACAACTGTAAGCTATACTAATTTCCGTTATAATGGTAAATGGAAATAAATTAAGAACACAAATTAAGATAGTATCTTATGAAAGTATTATCTAAATTTCCGAATAAGATGAAGTAAATTGTCAACTATTTATTTGGTACTGACACTATTTAATTTACATAATATAAAATATTTCGTCTTAAGCATCATCTTACTTTACTTGAATAGTTCCTTTCTCATTTTTTTTATGAATATTTTGATGTTTTATTTGCGAAATAGCATTCTTCTTAATATCATTGTCTTCTTGTGTAACTTTTTGACTAAAAAATATAAATAATAACACAATTAGATTAGGGTATTTTTTATTCTCAACTAATCAAAGAATATAAGGTTTTTATAATAACAATTTTCATTATTTTTATCTTTAAGTTGTGCTTATACATGCAAATTATTTTGAGTTAAGAATTCGTAAAAATTTTTCTTTTAAAAGCTGAGATTTTAAAATGTAATACAAGATTCCTAATAAGATTTTCTACATTTATCAACAAAAAAATGTCTACAAGAAAGTCAAATTAACTTTTTATGACCGTTTGAAATTCAAATTTTTACAACATTGGATAATCACTCGATTTCTCATGTAGCAATTTTGTTATTTTGTTATAATTCAAAAACGAATAACTGTAGATACACGAAAATTTCACTGAATAGTTATATTCTCATTTTTGAAAATATTTTGACTCTTTTTGAGCTGTTTACGGACAATTACAGTTTACAATTTTTTTTAGATTTTTTTCTATAAATATCAATAAAGTTTTATCTGTTGGGCCAAAAAGTGTAAAAATTTAATACAAGGGTCCTGATATATTGTTACAATATCAGTTGAAAAATATTAAAAATACATAGGCACAATTTTTTTTTATAAGAATATAAGACCGAATTTTGACAAAATTTATCAAATTTAAAATTAAATAATTATTTTTTAGTTAAAAATTTATAAAATGTTCAACTTTTATATCTAAGGATTGAAAATTTAAAACAAGATTCCATGTAAGTAGTTAATTCTGTTACTAAAAAATCTAAAAAATACATAAGCGAATTTTATTTTGATAGTCATTTTAAGTTCAAATTTGGACAAAATTACATAATAAAAAACCACGAATAACTATTTTAGTTATTTTGTTGTGTATAATATTTTACTCGTGGGTACTTCTAAAGTACACTATTATATATCTATGATAGTATCAGGGTTTGTTGTTGATGTATAACGAGTTATAAGTACCTATTGTGATGATTAATTTGGAATTTATTATAGGTCAATTTTTTTTAATACCATAGATAAGTATATAATATGACTATGTCTTATACCTAGTCTGACATACTGTCTCCGCTCAGAATCGTTTTTCTTACAATGATATTATATCATTGAATTCAAATTTAATACCATCCATTATACTGTGACCCACTTGTAACCTACTGTACAGCAGAGCACCTTTTTTTTTTTTTTGTGATTAATATTTTATATAATATGATGTATTGTTATGAATTTATGATATTGTATGTATTGTTATAATATTATTATTATTAAGGGTTTTTTATCAATGTATTAATGACAGGGACTGGGAAAGGTCAGGAAGGCCGAGCTGTGATAGTAGATATTATTATTACTATTACTATGTTATTACCACTATTCTTATTGCTATTATTATTTTACTGATGTTAGAGGTTATGTATTTATTCTGTTCTCTTTTGTAATAATGGGAACGTGAAAAGTACATCGTCTATTTTTTTTTATTTTTATTTTTAAGTTGTGCATGTATAAGCAATAAGCATCTTAAAATCTCTTCAAGGATTGCACCAACTTATTTATGCACTTAATAAATATAATATAATCTACTATATAAAAATGACAGTTGCTTTTTGCACAGCAAACTTTATGCACCCACATCAATGAATTATTTCGAATAAGGTTTTCACTGTTGGATAGAATGGTTCTCCCGCAAAATTATAAAGAATTAACCCTGGTCTGCAGAAAATTGAGCAATGAAAAAGGAATACCCATGATTCCATTTATGAATTTTTACACAGATGCTTTAAAATTATTTTCTATGAAATGACTCACTAGACTGAATTAAAAATCTGTGTTGTTGATATTGTTTTTTCCCATTTAGATGTGTACCTAAGCTAATTTGTCCATGTTAATACACTTAAACCAAAATACAACAAATGTAGTATTCAATCCCCATAGACAAATTGTCTATCTAGGTTAGACTTGTTCACACAGTGCACCTAATTTACTCCAACTGTTTAAAATGTATTCAATATATTATAAAAATAATTTTTAATCAAAACAAACTACACGATGCTTATAATTTTAATTAGCTTACATAGGTATTAGGTACCTTATTGAATTATAGTACACAATACATATCATAATTATTAAAACTCAAAAGTTTAGTAGTGTGGTACTTACAGAAAATCATCTTCTTTGGTTGTGTTATCAACGTCTTCAAATTCATTCATTTTTTCTTTGATTATTTGTTTATTATGAAATTTCAATAGATGATCACAATTTACAAGTGACACTTTTAATATTTTATCGAATTTAGGAAAATTCTTGTATCTAAACAAAACAAATATAAATTTACCATTGTATATAATAATTTTTATGTAAAGTATAGAAAAACTTAAATATACAAGAATTTTTGAAGTCCTATCACTGCTATTTTGATGTATAAATTAATTAAGATATTTTATTAATATTAATATTAATTTATTTTATTATATTAACGATTAGGTACAAGTGTAAAATATTTTTATTAAAATATACTCACTTTGAATTTAAATGTTCCATATTGTTCATCTAAAATGTTGATCACTAAAAATGTTTTAATTTCAAAAATTTATTTAGACCGTTTAGTATATTATTTGTAAAGAGAAACAATGTATTATAAAATATGTCCTAGTCTCCCGGGGAGGTTGCAAATTGTGGCACATGGAACAATTTGTTGTAAACAGTGTAGTAATTCTACATATTAATAATTATTGTACACAATCACCAGTGTCAAATTAATCATTATAATAATCAAGTAATAATCTTTCATGTTCAACAATAAATAATTATAATATTATTATGTCAAACAATAAAATATGAGTAATAACATTAAACTATTTAATTTTACTTATTAATAAATAAAATAATATTGTTAGTGACTGGTAGCGTGTTCTCTTGTCAATGGTTTAATATTTAGCATTGTATAAAATATCGAACATTGTTTCTCTATGCAATATATACTTAATGAAAACATTTATACATATTATAAAAATTGAATAATAAATATACTATATATACTATACCTAGTTATATTATGAAGAATAATTTAACTTTCCAGCAGCGGATTTTTTATAATTTGGTCTTGAAATATCTATAAAAAAAAATTATGCATAATATGTATATTTGATGTTTATAGGTAGCTGTAAGACTAACGTATGAAAAACTTTACATTAATTTGTGAATCCTTAGATATAAAATTTGAAAATTTGATAGATTTTTAACTAAAAAAAATTTCAACATTTTTGTAATTTTGTCAATATTTCAACTTTAAATAATTATAAAAAAATTACGTCTAAGTTGATGTCAGAGCATTCTAAAATTATCAAAAATACATAGACATTTAAAGTTTTAATTTTGACAAAATTGTATAATAACATTTTAAACAAAATATAACAATATTTTAGTCATGTTGTAGAATTATACCATACCTATTAAATAAATATTAATTATAGGAACTTGAAACATTTTACAATTGTGAATATAATTTATTGCATAGAAAATAATATTTTTAGACTAATTTTAAGATTTTTATACCATTATTCCTATTCTTACCCTTCCATGGTGTACAGAATTGATTTATAAGTTAGTAACAATAATATTATAATAATTAATAATGTAATATATTATGCAATATTTTTTGAAAATAAGTTTAAAATACTGTAGGTACAACTAATAGACATATAAATTACTGATAACTAATAAGTAATAATAATATACAGGTGCTTTAGGCCTTAGGTACTTAAAAATATTTCACTCTTGCCTACGTAATTATATAATATATATTATATGCAATAAATAGTAATTTTGTTATTAGGTACCTACTATTATTTTAAAATAATATGATTGTATGATAAATATTTTATTTACTATAAAAACTTAAGGCTAATGTCTATGCTTTTATGTGTCTACTTGAAGTAATTTTTTTTATCTGACCCCTGCCTTTATTCATTTCTAGATCCGTGCATGACAATGTACACAATATTAAATAATAAGCTATTATCAAGTCAGAGGCTGACAGACTACTGAAAATCATTTCCATATGAATGGTTCATCGTTGAATTCAAATTTAACATACCCACTACTCAATAACAGGATACACATGAAATCTAGTATAAAACAGACAGACAATTATGGTTTTAGATTCTGAGTGAAACGATAAATGTATTGATTTTACAATGTGTTTTTTATTTTTTTTTTTTTGTGTCAATCATCACCATTTAGGACAGTAAAAGTGCTTGGATATTCTTCAACAGTATCTTTTCTGAAAGGAAAATGAATCTAGTTGGTACTTTGGGGGTCAAAAGAAAAAATTTTCAAAAGTGCCGTGAAAAACAAAAGAAAAATTAAGGAAAACTGGGATTCGTATGCAAAATCTGTTTTTGAAAAAATCGATTTTGGTTTTTGGTTCGACTCTTAAACAAATGACCTCTAATACATGACATTTTGACTGAATGTTCATAATAGTATTTTCTATAAACCATAACATTTTCCAAATATTTTGACTTATTTTTAGATGTTATCGGACATTTTCGGTTTCCATTTTTTTTAGTTTTTTTTTCTATAAATATCAATAAAATTTTATTTGTTGGTTGAAAAAGCTTGAAAATTTAATAGAAGGGTCCTAGTACATTGTTTCAAAGGCAGATGAAAAAAATTAAAATCCATAATTACAAATTTTTTTATAAGCATTTTAAGTTCAAACATTTCCCCCTTCTCTATATCACGAGTTACTCCCTCTAATTTATGTTGGTATTAAATTTAACTCAAGTCTTGTATTATACTATTAAGTATTATTTAAAAAAAAAAAAAAACCTTTAATACACACTTATGCCGTGAATATATGATACATAAATATATTATTATTATTTATATACTTATATCATATATAAATATTTAATAAAAACAAAATTATGATGAATATAATAAATCGTAATAAAAATAGAATCTGGGGACAATCAGTTTGTGCCCGACAACGCCATAATAATTCCTATCGATAAGTGGAAGAAATCTACTTGCCGTAATTTGGGACATAACGGATAGGATATGTGCCTTTCGCTTGATGTACGTGTTGTTAATTGTTATAAGAAAACTCGCATTTGAACACATTTTTTAATTCGATAATATTGTCAAATATATTAACTAAATACTTTGACAGAACTATGGAAATAATACATTATATTTTAATTTAATATAAATTCTTATATTTATTTATTTATTTCAATATTTTAGGTAGGGCACATGCCTACGGAACCCATAGCACTAGCTGCCACTGCTACTTGCATAATAATATATTATACTCTTATTATACCTAATCAAATTGAAATCAAAAACATAAGAATCAACAATTCGGTACCTATGTTACATAAAACATAAACTCACTTTGAATTCCTTAAATTGCTATTGATGTATGTTCCAATTTTCAATCCATGAAATTTACTCTGTATCTCATAGATAGTTATCATATTATTTTCATGTGCATCTAAGTGTACAGTCATAAACTGTTGTAAAATCTGTAAAATGATACAAAATTCAATAACTGCAACTCATTCGGTATTAAAGCATCACACGTCAATATAATATAGTAGGTATACATTCGAAATATAATTTCAACAATTAGGACAGTAGCCGAGATAAATCTGTTATTTCTCACAAACTATTAACTACAAAAGAAAGTAGTCACCTTTAAAAAACGTTATAATTAGGTTATAATATAATATTATGTATTAAATTACATTATTATACTGCCCTGCTAAGCAGAAGTGGCGTAAAAAAAATATGTTAGTTTGAGAAAAATTCGGTTTTGTATTTTTCATTTTATTATACTTGTTAGGTATTTGTTAGTTCATTTGACTTGGTATAAAACATAATATCCACCTTTATAGTTTTTTTTTGACAAGGAATGCAATGAAATAATAATTTAAAAGTATTATTTACTTATTATACGTGTAAAGGACGCCACACACGGCAGCGGTAAAATTGTGTGAGGACTCATTTCGCCGTAACCGGTACCGCCACCGCTGCAGTGTGTAAAGGTTATTAAAGGTTATTTTTATGTTATTACTTACTGCTTAGACTATAGACTATAGTACTCAGAGTAACGATGTCTTATCCAGGAATGATGGTGCCAAAATGCCAACGAGAAAATAAGACACGGCTGTCTGAAGTAGATAGTTTTCCATCTAAAGCCGCGAGTTCATGGCCGTGAGAAGTGAGAACTGACTAGTGACTACAGAAGTCGTTTTGGCATCCGGTGCGCGCGCATCACAGCGGTCTCTGGCATTGTTATCATAAAAAAAGTAGACGTTTATCCTGGTGTTCAGACGGTGTAAATAACGATGTAGAGAACTTCTCAACCAACATCGTGGTGTATGCAGACTGTAGTCTCACTCACTATTTTTTTTTTTTTGGTCATGGTCTAGTTCATGTTCTCACTTGTCAGTTGTCACTCACTGATAAGACGGTACAGACAATGTTGCATATTCTATTGCCTATGTTCATCTTAAAAGGGGTTCTAAAATCATATTTTTTTTAGATACAATTCAAGATGGATAAATATTAACTATTATAGTATTAAAATTTAAAATTATTAAATATTAAATATTTTCTAAGTCATTTTGAAACGATTATTAATATTTATATGATGTACATTGCATGAAGTGAAGTAAACTGTAACACTGTACTAAGTGTCTAAGTATTATCTTTTATTATATTGATTCAATATTTTGTATGAATCAATAATCATTTAATGAGAACTATACATATTATTATAGTGTTATTGCAAAAATATTTAATATGTTACTATTGAATAGAATTAAGTTTAGGTACTCACTACTCTGACATACTTGTTCTTATTAAGTAATATCAATATTTAATTTTAATTACTAAGTACAGTTGAGTGTGGCACTGTCAGTGATCCAGTTATTGTGACTTGTTTTAAATTAATTTAAGACAATTTCCAACAGTGAATGTAAATATATAGTTGCTTATTTAATTGAACACAAGTTAAAATGTAAATGTACATATGTTGTACAAGTCGTGTGTCACGTTCAGGAAGCAACGACTGTGGTACATCTAAAAATGGTGTTCTGAAAACTCCCTTAGACCCTAATAAGTTATAATTGATGTTCCCGTTCCTCGGCGGTGTTGAAATTTGGACAATGCTTTTGTAGCTGTCGTCGCGGAAAAGATGTATATTTTATAAAATGCTAATAGGTGGATTAATCATAGTTCACAATGTGAAACACACTATTTGTTAATATTATATTGAATAGGTCAATAACGGATTTATAGAATATATTAGTATATGTAGGTACTACTATAATAATAAATCAATTCCAAACTGTGTTACAATATGTTTTTGTGGCTACTTGCTTTTGGTAATAACCATGGGATGCCATATTTTATTAATTATTAATCATGTTAGACTTTAGTATACCTACCTAGTCCGTAACAATAAGTAGGTATACAGGGTGATTGATTTAGCGTAAAACACTCATTATCTCAAAAAGTATTAATGTTTTTGAAAATAT